AATGATCATTTTGGCACTTTGTGTGAGCTTTCACTAGTCCACAAACCCTTAAGCTATAGAAAACTTTCTTCACTTTTATTTTGGACACTTTCTCAAGTCCAAGCTATAGGAACTGATTCTGTGACTGATAACCTGACACAGTAAGAACTTCAATGTTTTTAGAAGTCATATCAATTCTGGCTTCATTGTCTTTACTCCTCTGGAGTTGCAACTAACAAACACAGTACAACTAAGTAAACCTCTAATAAAAGGGGAAACTGGGAGGGAGTGGGGATATGTTGGCTTCAGGAGCTTGGATATATATATATATATGTATATATATATATATATGGTGTGTAAAATACCTAGATAGGTGTTGATATTATAATAGTAGTGATTAAAAAAAAACTTAAAATAATCAGATGAACTCTGAATAAAGCAACAGTATACAGTGACCAAAATTCTAGAAAGAACAAAGCCCAGAGGGTCAGCTCCTGAGCTGATACCAGTTCTTAGTCCCCAGAGAAGATTGGCTTTCCCAGACTGAGTACCACAAGACCCCTAAGTGTTTGTAAGTAGGGACTTTCCCTCAAGCATCTGGAATCCACATGCATATACCAACCACCTTGGGAAAAAAATGAATTCACAGTTAAACATATCTCGACATCTGAGGGAATGGTACACTGTAAATAAGAATCAGCAGAAAGTCAAAAGGCATTAATCTCCTGCTCGGGTGTCACTTATTTAAAACAGCACCTAAAAAACGAGTATGTTTGAAACCATTTTTAAGACCTACAAGAAAGAAATGACAATATGAGTCAGTAAGATATTTGTTAAAGGGCAGTGTGGAAAGTTTAGTCAGTAAAGTGCTCCTCTCTGAAGAATGGAAACCCAACTTTGATTTCCAGAATCAGCATTAAAAAGCCTGGTGTGGTGATGCAGGGTCCTAATGCTAGTGCCAGGGCTAGGGCCCCTGGGGATCCCTGGCCTGACAGCTAAGAGTACTGGGCAAGTTCAGACCAATGAGAGACCCTGTCTCAAAACTTAATGTGGAAGAGCTGGACAAAAACCCTTCCTGCTCTTTCAAAGCATCAGGATTAGTCCCCAGGACCCATATCAGTCAGCCCACAGACAACTACTCCAGTTCCAGGGGATCCAGTGTCCTTTGACCTCCACAGGTACATGTGGTTGGTACACACAAACTTATGCTGGCACACACAGAGACATAAAAATAAGTAAATCTTTTTAAAATGTGTAAGGTGACTGTAATCATACCAGAGGTTGATTTCAAAGGCTTCCACATGTACATAAGTCTACGTAAATGTGCATCCACAAGAACACACACACTCAAAGAGCTATTGAGGGAAAAGCTGAATATTTGAAAAGAACTATTAGTGATTTCTATAATTCTTAAAAGGTGAGTTAAAATTTTTAAAAAGACCAGGAATGGATAAAATGGCAATTTAGGCAAAAGTAAAGAAAGTGATAATGAATTTAGATGACAAACAGCTGTCTCAATAGAAAATGTACAAAGACTATGAATGGCCAAATCACAATAGAGGAAATGATTTGACACAAAAATGTGTGTGTCACAATAAAAAAAATGAAAATGGAAACAAAAACTGAGATACAACTTACACGCCATCAAATTAGCAAAAGGCAAAGAAAGCCAATATGTGAAGGCCCAGCATAGCAAAGCTATGAACAGCAGACGCCCTCACATAGCTGATGGGGGTGTAAGCTCTTACAAGCTTGTGTCAGGCACAATAATGGACCCCAAAAGATGTCTGTGTGCAAGTCCTTGTAACCTGTGAACATGTTCTGCATCGCTGCATTTCAGATAGAATTAAAGTTAGTACACAAAATAAGGAAATGACCCTAGATTATTTAGGGGTTCCTAAAAGTCAAAGATGGCATGCAAGTGAAGTGGATCCTTTAATAAAAGCTCCTGCCATGCAAGCCTGGTGACTTAAGTTCAATCCTTGGAACACATGGTGGAGGGAGAGAATCAACTCCTGAAAGTAGTCCTCCAACATCTACACACATCTCATGCTACACACATTCATATCACATGCACGCATACACACATATAATAAATAAAATGCTTTAAAAGAAAGTGAGAGAAGAAAGAGGAAGGCAGAACTCAATGAAGAATGATGGTGACAGAAGGAAGCAAGATAATGAGTCACCAAGTTTCTAGCTTTGAAGATGATGGAAAGTTCCTCGAACCAACAAACACACACCAGACTCTAGAACAATGGTTCTCAACCTGTGGGCTGTGACTCCTTTGGGATTCGAAGGACCACTTCACAGGGTTGCCTGTTACATTACAATCATAACAGTAGCAAAATTACAGTTTTGAAGTACCAGTGAAATAACTTTATGGTTTGGGGTCACCACAACATGAGGAACTATATTGTAGGGTTGCAGCCTTAGAAAGGTTGAGAACCACTGCTCTAGAAGCTATAAGATCCAAAGAAATGGTTCTGGAGCCCCTGCAAAGACTGTTGTGGCCTTGCCTATGCCTTTAGCATCATGACATTCATGTCAGGCTTCTGAAAGCAGAAGACAGCAAATCTGAGGGATTTCAGGCCTTTTCCTGATGATTTCTTCTGGGAGTGAGAGAAAACAATGCCTTTCAGTCACAGAGGACATTAACAAATGGGTGCCCTGTGTAGAAGAGCAAGCAGGAAGAATAAAGATAAGAGGTCAGTTTGAATGAAAACAGCATAATGTTGAATGGACCAATGTGAATTTTACCCTGAGTTCTGTATATAACAAACCTATTTATGTAAAATTATAAAGCAGGCAAACAATTGTAAGATGTCTACTGATGCACCTGTATAAATGAAGTATAAAAACATTCACAACGAGGGGAAATACTAACTTCAGGGTGATAGCTTCCGAGGAGAGGAAAATAAAAAAGAAAAATAAAAAAACAATTGGTCAGAAAGCACTTATGTCACAAGACGAAGTTTTGCTAAAGCTGAGTGATAGGCACACCATTGTTCCTTTTATCATTACTTATGCTTACCCTTGGGCTTGAAACATCTAGTATTAAAAAGAATATATAAATTTGTGAATGGAATTTTTACAGGATTTCCTCATCCAGATTTCTTCATCAGTTTCCAACGTTAAGAAGTAAGTTATTTTGAAGTCAGTTGAAAATGACTTATCTAGGGATTTCCCCTCCAAAGCACCCAAGGCCTTTGTTGGAGATGATAGTAAAAAGTCAATACAGCAGTTTCTTTTCCAGATTCTAGCTACAGTCCCATTCAATATGACTCTTTCCATCAGCTGCCAGTGTGTACCCACAGCTAAGTGCTTTGACCTAATGTGTTCTGCATAAATTATGTATTAAATAGCAATTTCCTAAATTTAAGGAGAAGCTCTACATAAATATTAAGAAACAGAAACCAAACAAGATTAATTATTTGGTATTAAATTATTGAAAATAGGGGAACAATTTCTTTTTTAAAAAATTGTGTGTGTGTGTGTGTTGTCTACAAGTGTGTGCTAGGTGCCTGTGGAAGCTAGGAGGTGGTATTAGGTCTTCTGTAACTGGAATTATTGATGGTTGTAGGAGCTGGGATTCAAACCCCAAGTCTCTGGAAAAGTAACCAGTGCTCTTAAGTGCTGAGCCATCTCCTCACTATCCCAGGAAAAAAACATCTTTATGGTTTAGTTTTTAGTTTTAATTTGAGACAAGATCCTGCTGTGTAGTCCACGCTTGTCCTGAATTCATTATATAGACCACATGGGCTCAAATTTGTGGTCATCCTCCTTTCTCAATCTCCAAAGTACAAATTATTTTTTTAAAAAACATTATTTCCAAAATCTTTTATTTTGCTAAGATATGTTTGAGACTAATTCTATGAAAAAGCAATTCTCACTTTTTCTTACCCAAGTACATTTTTAACTGAATTTTAACTGATTTTAACTGAATATAGATACTGATATTCTAGAAATCCAAGCTTTCTTTTCTTAATGTTCATAATTAAATGTCTTTTATGTGTTAGCATATTCCCACCACTTAACTGAAGGTTTACATATGTGTAGTTTCTGCCTGTTTGATTCTTTCTGTTTATGTTTTCTGTGACTAAAGCTAACAGTATAAGTAAACCACGAACAGGCTCAGGGTGCATGTGGCCATTTGAAGAGTGCTTGTCTGCCTGGCATGCACAAGGTTCAATCACAGCCCCACTGCCACACAAAAGTTATAAATCGGATCAAGAAAATGCTCTTCAAGGAACATCTAGAAACCAGGGTCTCTGAGACACTTAATAAGTGCTTGGCAGGTTTTTTTTTTTTTTTTTTGGGGGGGGGGTTCCATAACATAAAGTAACATGTTGTTGCAGTTAAGTCTCTATGGCTTATGAAATTGTTTTTCTTCAGGTTTTGCTATTAAATCTGGTTGTCACACAGGTCTTTGAGGCAAATCACATGTGACAAACAAGTTGAGTGTAAATTCCCCTTGAAGTAGTGCAGAAATTGAGGATCTAAATTTGCATTGCTACCTTTTAAGCTATTCATAAAACTAAAGCACAGTTTCCATATGTCCATTGTCTAAACCATGCCTCCCACCCCTCAGGAATGTGAGTGCATTCCTCTGCACATTTTTTTTTGGTTCAGCTTCATTTAAGTTCATGCTTATAACACTGCTCACTTTTCATTTCAATAGCATCCAAGTGTTGCTCCTCATCAGGAATTTTTTATCGGAACTGTCTCCATAAGGTGTGGTCTGGTTACTGTCAAGTGTGCCTCTAAACCCCATGGAGCATTACTCAGGAAAAAAAAAATGTTAGATAATAATGCTGATTATATCAAACAAAAAAAAATACCCCCCTTGTGAAATCAGTTGGAATTTTTTTTTCAGTATGAGCTATTCTGCTTATTTTACCAAGACATGTGGCTGTTGACTGTACTGCCTAAGTGCAAAGTTTATTACGCTGACGATGATGTTACTTCTATTGCTTTGAGGTTGATCAAGTCGCTGTTGCCTTTATTGTTCCCCCCAATAGGAAATGTCATGCTGTTGAGGGTGTTACCTGCTGTGTATGAAAAGCAGCCTCAACCAATCAACAGACACCTGGCAGAACTCCTGGCCTTGATGCCTCAGTTGGAACAGACAGAACAGTACCATCTCCTACGGCTTTTGCATGTAGCAGCAAAGAAAAAAGATGTGGAGGTAAAAAGTGCATTGTATCTGCTTGATATACACTCGGTAGTACACACACTCACTGTGATAGCCCACACAACCGGATTTGCTTCTGAATAATTTGAGCAGGATTAATGTGCTTAGGGTTTCCTTGCACATACAGTCAAAAGCATCTGTTTACAATACACTTGTACAAGAGGTGTGTGTGTCTGTGTGTCTCTGTATGTGTGACAGAGAAAGAAAGAATTGGTTCATGCCACTATGAAAATTATTGTGTGAACGAGAGACTCAGAAAAGCCAAGGGCACAGTTTTAATTCATATTTTTAAAAAATGCCAGAAACTGGAGGGTAGATGGCCTCAATATGAGCAAATACCAATACTCTAGCACATCATATAGCATATGAATTCTCTCTTCCTTTCTCTTTTCCCTTTGTTTAAATCCTCAACAGGTTTGCTGATGCCTATCCATAGTGAAAGGGAAATCTTTACCCAGTCTACGTATTCAAATGTTATCCTCACCCAAACAGTATTTTCACAGACACCCTGAAATGTTTAACAAGCATTGGGGCACCCTGTGATTCAATCAAATGGACACAAAATTAACCATCACAGTCATACTAATAAAAAGCAACAACAGTGACTCTGCAGCCATTGCAGGGTAACTTCAATGCCATTTAATGTGCACACACAGTTCTAAGAGTCTATATTCTCACAAGCAGAGCCAAAAGAAAGATTTACACATGACTTGATTGGTGGGTAAATGTGCCCAGAGTGGGAGCAAAAGGTCACTCTCTACATAGCAAATAGTTGTCATTCTTTATATGGAAATAACATACTTACAATTCAGATGCTTGTAATTAGCAAACCACAGTGGTTTCAGTGGTCAAATGAATTTATAGGTAACATGATAGTAAATAAATACACAAACATAAACAACAAACTTACATGAGACTTGGTCTAAGAGATCACATAAGAAGAATTAAATAATACCTCTCTCACTCCCTCCATTTCTCAGAGAGAAATCAGGTACTGTGGGGACTAGGTAATTGATGTAGATTTCAGAGTACAGTGAAGTTCCCTCATAAGAGTAGCATCCAGGCAAGAGCCCTTAAACATACCGTCTATGCAAGGGGGTGGGGCAGGGGAGGACAGAGGGACAGTGGACCTCTAGGAAAATGAACAGGATTAGTAGTTATTAACACTAAGTGAACCGTTTGCATGATACCCTAGGACAGAGACCAGGAAGCTGGCCCTTACCTCAGCTGCACCCTCAGAGATCTTTGTTCAGTAGATCAGGCATAGGCCACAGGCTATTACTACAGAGATCACAAAATAAAGACAAGGTCAGAGGCTTGCCAGAGGACGGGAGCTGTCTGCTGCCTGTGTACATTTTTACTTTTGTCCCTGGGAAGATAATTATAGTAATAGTATGTTGCTGTCAATAGCATTGTTGTTATAACTTATTGATCATTATTACTATACTATAAACTCCTTAAAGACCATAGGACATGTCTACATATTCACAACTAGTTCCCAACTTCATGCTGGGCAGATAGTAGGGGTCCAACAGGGACTAAAGAGATAGTTCAGCAGGTAAAGTACTTATTGAAGAAGTTCCTGGTCCCTCTCTGCGCTAAAGCACCCTGAGATAGGAGAATTGTCAGGCTCTGGTCCCACCATGCTTACTGCTGGTCACAGCCAACAGAGGACCCCATGGCTGGTTTAGCACCTGGTATACAGTAGTCCTTTCATGGATATTTCTCACATGGAGAAGCTAAATTTAATGCTTAAATTTACAGACAGCTTGACCATTTAAAAGTGGTCCTTTTCACATCTAGCATCTCACTTAATCCTATAACTTACTCTGTAATGTATTCATTTTCCTCCATCTTACTTTGAGCAAAACAGATGCTTAGAGAAGTTAACATGCTTGATATCACACACCTAGTAAAGAATAAGAAAGGTCCAAGGTTTTGAAGCCAGACTGTCTGAGTTGTACCTTTTCCCTCACTTGGCCTAGGCTGCTTCCCCTGGAGAAGGGTACAAAGTAGTGTTCTCACTACTAGTCACAGTGACAGAGGTGCTGAGATTGGATGAGCTCATTTATTCATGTAACGGCCACTGGGTAGGTGCTTTCACACACTCCTTTACTTCGTCCCACATAGCAAGATTTTTATAGTTTATAGATAGAAGACCCAAATTGTAGATCACTCACAGAGATGTGGAGTGGCTTGGTGAAGTGAGTTTTTACACTGGACTCATGCTGACCAGCCCCTCAAGCTCCTATCTCCCTCTCTAAATCATAGTGAATCTGCCCTCCCTTACAGTCGCCACATACAGATTACTTGAATTGACATGCGTCATGCTTCCAAAGCCTCACTGATAAGGCCAAGCTGTAACTTAAGTCTGATATGATTGTTTTGACACCAAAAAGGAAAAAAAATTGACTCTGAAGGCCCATGGCTTCTGAAGCAAATGAAGTTTCAGGGGATACAGCAGAAGGTGTAGGGAAGATGACAAGAGATAGAAGTGAAGTGATTGAGAACCAGGCTCTGGGTGACGTCACTGGTTGTGAGTGTGGAACTCAGAATGAAGAGCACGAGATCTTGGAGGCACTTAGAGTGACTGGGTGGACTTCACTGTACCCAGATACTAATGGTAGAAGAGGCTATGAGAGGAAATTGCCAAGCCCAGCTGCTCCTGTCCCTTCTCATCATGTAAAAGTGCCTCCTTTACTTGCCCCTTCATTTTTTATGATAATATTTTTATTTAAATTTGAAACAAGCTTGCTTTACATGTCAATCTCAGTTCCCTTACCCTCCCTTCCTTTCCTGACTCCCTCATCCTCATCCCATCCCCTTTCTGCTCCCTAGGGAGGGTATGGCCTTCCATGGGGGAATCTTCAAAGTCTGTCATATCATTTGGAGCAGGGCTCTCCCATGTGTCTAGGCTGAGGGAGTATCTATCCCTCTATGTGGAATGGGCTCTGAATGTCCATTCATATACTAGGGATGAATACTGATCCACTACCAGAGGCCCCAAAGACTTCCCAGTTCTCCTAACACCTACATTCAGGGGTTCTGGGTCAGTCCTATTCTGCTTTCCCAGCTATCAGACTGGGGTTCAAGTCAGCTGTCTCTGTGGGTTTCTCCAGCCTGGTCTTGACCCATTTCCTCATCACTCCTCTCTCTTTCTGCAACTGGATTCCAGGAGCTCGGCTCACTGTTTAGCTGTGGGCGTCTGTTTCTGCTTCCACTATTGCTTAGATTCTTAGTTGGGGTTAGATCTCTGGACATTTCCCTAGTGCCAGATTTGTCTTTAAACCTATAATGGCTCCCTCTATTATGGCATCTCTTTTCTTGCTCTCCTCTATTCTTCCCCTGACTCAATCTTCCTGCTCCCTCATGTTCTCCTATCCCCTCCTTTTCTCCACTTCTCTTCCCCCTAACTCCCTCTCCTTGCCCCATGCTCCCAATTTTCTCAGGAGATCTTGTCCTTTTCCCCTTCTCAGGGGGACATTGTATGTCTCTCTTAGAGCCCTCCTTGTTTCCTAGCTTTTATGGTGGTGTGGATTATAGGCTGGTGATCATTTGCTCTATCTCTAAAATCCATATATGAGTGAGTACATACCATGCTTCTCTTTTTGTAACTTCGTTAACTCACTCAGAATGGTTTCTTCCTGTTCCATCCATTTGCCTGCAAATTTCAAGAGTTTATTGTTTTTTCCGCTGAGTAGTACTCCATTGTGTAAATGTACCACATTTTCTCCATCCATTCTTCAGTTGAGGGGCATTTAGGTTGCATCTAGGTTCTGGCTATTACTAACAATGTTGCTATGAATATAGTTGAACAGATGTCCTTGTCATATGAATGTGCATTTTTGGGGGTATATGCCTGAGTGGAATTATTACAGGATCTTGTGGTAGACTGATTCCCATTTTCCTGAGGAATCACTATACTGATTTCCAAAGTGGCTGTATGAGTTTGTACTCCCACCAGCAGTGGAGGAGTGTTCCCCTTTCTCCACATCCTCTTCAGCATAAACTGCCACTGGTGTTTTTGATTTTAGCCATTCTGACAGGAGTAACATGATGTCTCAGAGTTGTTTTTATTTGCATTTCCCTGATAGCTAAGGATGTTGAACACTTTCTTAAGTGTATTTCAAAACAACCCTGTACAATAAAGGAATTTCCAGAGGCATCACCATCCCTGACTTCAAGCTCTATTGTGGAGCTATAGTCCTGAAAACAGCTTAGTATTGGCACAAAAATAGACAGGTAGACTAATAGAATCAAATGGAAAACTCTGATATTAACCCATGTACCTAAAAACACCTGATTTTTGACAAAGGAGACCCTTCATTTTTTTCCATGGTTCCCTTAGAACCATCACTGCCATAGGCAGGGACAAACACTACGCCCACTTTACCTCCTCTCCTATGTTCCCTCATTGGGGGCATGATCACAGAGAGTGGTTTTACAGAGATGTCTAGAAAGCACCAGCAACCAGGAATTCAGACATTTCAACTTAATTCCAATCCATTTGCTTCCAGATGAAATAGTCAGGTGGATGCGGAGAGGTGTGATTTTGCATTTTAGGCTTATCATGGAGGGCATGATGGTTTGGGACAGAAATGCCCTCCCACATCCTCATAATGCTGGAATACTTGTTTCCTGGCCAGTGGTGCTATTTCAGGTAGAGATCACTAAGGACATATCTTTGGGGGTTACATCTGCCTCATGGTCTTCTATGATGTGAGAACTCCCCAACAATGACAGAGTTTTCCAAAATATGCTTTCCACACCATGGTGCTCTGAAATCCTTGAAACCATGACCCGAAATATATCCTTCCTGGCTTAAGTTGTTTCTTTTGGGTTTCTTGTCAAAGTAAAATAACTAAAAAAGAGGTTATTAGTGATATCTATAATCAGTGTAGTCGCCTGTAATCATTCTAGGGTTTCTGTTTGATTGGTTGGGTTTGGCTTGTTTGTTTGGTCGTTGAATGCTACAGTCTTCACCAGTGAGAATG